AAAAACACGCTTTTAAAGAACATGGAACTAAAAAGTTAGGAACATTTTTTTAAATAAACTTAAAACAATTACTGGTATTTTTCGATCGTTATTGTTTTAAGCTTATTAAAAAAATATATTTTTAACTATTTAGTTCAATGTTCTTCAAAAGTGTGTATTTTAGTTTTTTTTAAATATATTTATTTCGGCATATTGTGGCTTGAGAAAATATATTTTTATAAATTGCAAAAAATGCAATACTCTGTGAATCTGAAACTATCTACAATGCCAGAATTTTTAATTTTGGAAAAGTGAAGTTATTTCAAATTCAAATATTTTTGATCAGTTTCATTGGGCAATTGAGCATTTATTGTTTGAGACCTTTTATATTTGACTTCTATGTTGACAAGCTGTCCTTCATAAGGTAGGTGATAATATCGGGAATTTCACGTGGTAGAAACAACTAAAACTCGTAAATATTCACAAAACTTTGTTAGTTGGACTCTGAGATTTAGTAGTGAAATTAATGAATGTACTAGATTTGGCAGATATTCAAAGAAAAATTCCAGAAAATTTGACATATTGTTTTTGGTTGATACTGGAAAATGATGACATATTGATGATGAAAAAATAGATACTATTTGACTAGAGCATAATGAAGATAAAATGTGAAATATGTTTTTTGTAGCAAGTTAATACATTCCGCTCAGATTGACCAACATTTTTTCATCGCAGTTTTCACAGCATATTTCATAAATCACAGACTACATTTTACGTCGTTTCATCTTTCGGGTTGCCCAACGCGAGTTACAAGATTCAGTTTGAGTCACCTCCTGATGGAAGCTAACTTCCTTGACTGTTCTGGTTTGTGAAAAAACTCGATTTCAAATCGATCAACATTTTCAGCCAATGAAATTTCACACCTCTGACATGAGTCGTCAAATTATATCGTATTTAGTAGATAATTCACAAGGATGGAATTCAACAAAGAACCATCTGATCTTTGCCTGAGCAAATGTAGGCTCAAGTCAGACACCAAGGGTATCAAGAAAGTTATATTATATAATAATAACATAGGTTTTCACAGCCGAGTCACAATTATTTTTTGCTGTTGTCCTACATCACCGTATAGAAGTAAACAGAAGTAAGTTCACTCTCCGCCATATTTGAGTCAAGATTCCCCACCTCGAATTCAATGCGCAGCCGAACTACATCGCAACCGACTGAATCTGAGGCGTTTACCAAGCGAGCCAAGTTGAGGCATGGAATATTATTACAGAGTGAGTCGTTGTAAATGGTGGTTTTGTATTTGTGAAAAATTCGTGTCTAGTTTCAAAAAGAACAAGGGTTGAGCTGTGGGTTGCTATAATTTGCAGGGTGATGTCGACATTAATTTTTTTCGATTTCCAACTGACGAAAAAAGGTGTGTTTTTCTTGTATAACGTAATTCACCCTGTATATTAGATTATTATTTTAAAATACGGTAAATTAACATCAAAAATCGACGTGTTTCAGGATTATTTCTTAAAATGACCTCTTTAGCTAGAAATGAATTTGTTCCATACTTTACGGACACAGTGTATATGGACAAGGAATATAAATCAGGACTGTGTGGAAAATTATTCTGGTCAACAGAGAAATACTTGTGGAAATGCCAGAAACCCAACTCCTGTTCAAATTACCACAGCTTCCAAAAACACATTTACTCTTCAGTATTTCACACAGGCAGAAGGAACTAACTGTCTAGAAGATAATAGTGAGATTCTATCTAATACTACAGATGCTGACATTAATAAAGTGAAGATTGTTGTGGAAGTTCCAAAAAATCCCTATAAACGTTTGAGAGTATAGACAAATGATTAAAGAACTCTAGCCATTCCCGAAGGCAACAGCTTGGACTTTGTTTATGGATATCTTTCGGGAAAATATTTAGGAAAACATTCATGTAAAGTATGAACAAATTTTGCCACGGCGGCTAGTATCACACTGAATGGAACAAATGTATACAGTGTGTAACAACGAAAACTCAACAGAGCCGTTTTTGAATATAAAAAGTGAGATTTTCAAAAAAGCTCGGACACGTCGATTTCTAATTAAAGGGGACACCTTTCAGACTAATCAGCTTTTTTGTAGTACGCACCACCTCGGAGGGGTGCGTCCGACGACCCTTATTTAGATAGGGAAAGTAGGTCGAGTGGCACCTTGTTTTGAAGGTCTTTCGAATACCTTTACAACTCTGTTAAAAGAAAATTTTTGTAACGATTAGTTTTCGGGATAATTTGAAGTTAAAATTGCCATGTTAATAATACATTAGACA